GGGGAAGTTCCGACAATACAAACAAGCAGTAGAGCAAGGGAAGGTAATTGAATTTGTGTACGTACGCCGGTGGAGGAAGCATGCAAAACGTGATCACTCCTTCCTGGTTTCTGTTCTTAGACAACCACATATGAGATTATCTCTACACACCCATGACTTGGGTTTTCTGGTAGAGTTGTTGCAGGCGGTTAAGGAATTCAGAAGAAAAACTACGAGACAATTTCTGAGACGGATTTTGTACGGGAGTATTAAACAAGGATTTGGATTTAACGCGGGACCTAGATTGACGGTTAGAGTACGTTACGACGATAGAAAGCCTGGCAGGAATGCGGAGGCTATGTGATGCGAAGATTGACGGAATCGGGTACCCTGAGGTTATGAAAGACATCTTTAAGAGGAAAGTCAGGGTAGTGTGGACTAAGAACCCGTCTACCGCTGATATCCTATGCAACCACCGCAAGGCCGCCTTGAAAAAAGTGCAGGCCTGCACTTCCATGGGGTATGATTTGGCTCGATATGAGGGGCATGTGAGGTGTCGTCTGTGGGAAATTCCGGGGATCCCCGAGAAGTTATATAATGGCAAGAATGTACCTAGGGCGAGGAGAGAATCTCGAGTGGAAATGTTGTCCAAAGAATTGTCGAAATCTTTCGAAGCTTGGAGACCAGGTCTGAAAATCCCAATTGAATTTTGTACGGAGGAAGCACAGCAATGCATGAATAACTCTGAACTTAGGGAAGGGGAAGTTACGATAGATGGTGTTGGAAGTAAAGAGGAGATTTTCTGATTTGTTTTTTTCTCAAGTCGATAGAAATCCGGGGGAGATAGTACTCACCTGTCCGAAAGTATATCATGAAGCAACAGAAGAGATGTTTGTCCAAAGTTCAGGGTATGTTGTGATGTTATGTTCTGAGAAGGAAGTGTGGGACAAGGCACGAACAAATTTCGATAATTTGGGTTTGTCAAAATTAGGGAAGTGGAATGAAAAGGGAAAGGTGGGATGTGCATATGTACTCCCTAAGCACAAGGACCCTTCAAGGTTCAGGCCAATTTGTCCTACCTACGTGGAACCCACCATTAGGATACGCAGGAAGTGTCGAGAGCTTTGAATTTGCTGTTGAAAACTCTGCCAAAAAACTTTCATTTCACGATATGCAGGAAGTGTCGAGAGCTTTGAATTTGCTGTTAAAAACTCTGCCAAAAAACTCCTTCAGTTGGTGATCTGCCTGAGAGATTGGAACGAGCGAATTCGCAAATGCAACGAGCATACAAGGACAGTAGAGTTATGGCGGCATCATACCATGTAAAGGATATGTTCAGTCGGCTACCCCATGACGAGATTAAAGAGACCTTAGACTGGATTATCAGTTGCTTTAGTGATAAGCAGGTAATTAAGGTCAACCCAAG